ATATATTTAGCTATCATTTTTACAGCAACCCTGCAAGATATGTAGAATTTTAACCATTTAATAAACAGGAAAGAGAAAAGGAAAAAGGCAGTGTGGGGAGGGGGGAAGGGAAAAGAAAAATGAGAGGGAAAAAAAGAACCCCAAACCAAACAGGAAGAACTCAAGGCTCAGAGAGGCTGGACAACTTTCTCACAGTCACACAGGTAGTCGGAGTAACAGTGGCAAACAGTTTCAGGTCTTTCTGGCTCCATAGCACAGGTCCACTCCACTGCTCCATGTTGTCCTTTTGAACCCCCCTGAGCAGGTACCAAAGCCATGCAAGCCTTCCCTTCCCCAGAGCAGGGCTTGTCCCTGCAGGCACAGGAGCCAGGTGCTCCCTTGTGCTGAGGGAACCTCTAGGATCTGACTTCTCTAAGTCATGTAACCAGGCCTTTTCTTCCCCCTAAGGCGCCGGTTCCCATGGAACATCATCCTGCTGGCTCTCTTTGTAAGTCTAGAAGGGTAGGGGAGCGCTGTCCCAGGGAAGGGAAGGAGATATCACTGGGGAAGGATGTCCCTGGCTTTCTCCCCCTTCTTATCCTTACTGCTAGCTCTGGGTCCTCTCTGTGGCTGCATCTTTCCAGCTCAGTCTAATCTACTCCCAGCTCTATAAGGCCACTGTGGTCATCCCCCAGTGCCTTTACACGTGCTGGGCAAGTGCTCTACCACTGAACTTCACCCAGTGCCTGCTGTTCTTAAGTGTCTTCTTTGTTTCTCTCCCTCAGACTTTTGCCATGGGCTTTATGACAGGCACCATTTCCAGGTACATGCAAGGGCAATCTACCACCTTCATGTAAAGTGTGTATTCTTGGGGAGCAGCTGTTCCTGGGCTGGTGGTCATCTGTGGGGATGGGTTCTGGGTGGAATCTTCTGGAAGCGGAGAGTTTGAAGTCATTTGTATGTGGCTTATGCCTCTGGCTTCTCTTAACTCCTTCTTTCCAGTATGTATCAGACCAAAGCTGTCATCATTGCAATGATCATCACTGCTGTGGTGTCCATTTCTGTCACCATCTTCTGCTTTCAGACCAAGGTGAGGGAATGGAGGGTTCTTCCCTGGCACCTGCCTCTCTTTATTATGAAACCTGGCCCTTTGGGTTTGGCATTTGAATGGCCTGGGAGGGCCCAGATCCATATAGACCAGGGATTTCCGTTAGAGACCTAATCCCCTTTCCCATATCTACACCTGCATAGCTGCCTCCTATGTCTGTCCTTAGCATGACATGGTCATTACTGTGTCTCCAGGAGGCAGAACTGGGACTCTCAGGCAGGGTGGCAGGGTGGCAAGGCCAGTCTAGTCTGGCTGGGCTGCTAGTGACGGCAGTTGTCTGACAGGTACCTCATTCCTCTTCCTGGCAGGTGGACTTCACCTCGTGCACAGGCCTCTTCTGTGTCCTGGGAATTGTGCTGATGGTGACTGGGATTGTCACTAGCATTGTGCTGTACTTCAAATATGTGAGTGTCCCATGAGGGCTGAGGCCACTGAACCCAGTCCTCATTGCAGACTCCCTGTGTAGCAGAATGTAGCAGGGCCCCTCATCTGGGCAGGATGACCTCAGAACCTTCCAGTGGCTAGCAAAGGCATCCACATACAAGCACCATCCTTTTGGGTTAGGGAATAGTCAGTGTCTCTTTGGAAAGAGCCACAGCACTGGGAGCCCTGGACAGCGCCACTGAGTTCCTATGGGAAGTAGTAGATTAGAGCTGACAGCTGAAACCAGGTTCTACGAGGCAGACTAGAAGAGGAACCCAGAGGAACAAGATGGGTGTGGAAGGGACTTTGGAGATGTCTGGAGCTGAGTCCTTTGACTATAGTCAGCTAAAGGAAAACATGAGGTCCCCAGGCTGATGACCATCTCACCATGGACTGGCCTTGTCCTTCTGTGGACAGGCACCTACAGGAGAGTGAAGCAGGGCTGCCTTGTGGGCACCCCCTAATTCTGAACCTCATCAGGGTGGTTGCAGGCTAGGGTTTCCCTCCCTCCTAGCTCTTCTTCATTCTGTCCATCCCAGGATGGGCTGTGTGGTCTGTTGAGTGCTGACCAGGACTGGAGGAAAGATGATGGGGCTCTTCAACTGGTGTTTGCTGGGTCTGTCCCTCCAAAGCTGGCACTCAGCCACTGCTTTTTCTCAGAAGCACAGTGGACACCTCTGCAGATTAGCTCTATGGATTGGTCTGGCTAAAAGATGCTTTGATTGGTTTTATATGGCCATTTTAGGATAGCCTCTGTTCCCTCTGCCAAATACGTCACCGTTTCAGATCTGTTCTAGGACCTAGAGGGCATGCCCCAGGATCCCAGTGAGCTGGCTTCCTAGTTCTGTCCACTCTGATGCCCGAATCCCGGGGGTTAGCTGGGTCCTGAAGGTCTGCCTCACTGTACTTTGCTCAGATTTCTAACGCCACCCCATCTCCTTCTTCTCAGATTTACTGGCTCCACATGGTCTATGCTGCTTTGGGGGCCATTTGTTTCACCCTGGTAAGTCCCTGCTGTGCTCTGGAAAGCTGAACTGAGGGGATGGAGGACAGGGGACGGCGAGTGAATTTAGGTGGAACAGAGCCAGAAGCGATCTTTCCTTACTGTCAAGAGTTCCCGTGATTTTCAGGGCACTCCTGCTGTCTTAGTCACACACCTGCTGCTGGAATGCTGGGCAGGGCGAGTTGGAGATGCAGTGTGCCTGCCTGTTTCTGGTGTGGACTGCAGGAGGCAGAGACCACCTATTAGTCTGTTCGTTACCCTAAGCGTGCTTGCTACGTGGCACACAGGCTCCCAGGACAACTCTGCTGACCAAAAAGGAGCTCTAGGCCTCTGGGTACTTACTGGCGCTCACTTCTGGCTTCCCTGTCCCTGCAGTTTCTGGCTTACGACACACAGTTGGTCCTGGGGAACCGGAAGCACACCATCAGCCCAGAGGACTACATCACAGGGGCCCTGCAGATCTACACAGATATCGTCTACATCTTCACCTTTGTGCTGCAGCTGTTGGGAGATCGCAACTGAGGAGCCCCCCATTTCACCCTCGCTGGGCTCTCCCTTCCCTAGAGGGCTGGGCCCTGTGACTGGGGTCTAGGCCTCAGACACTTTTTTCTTCCCCTCAAGTAACATACCCAGTTTCCTTTCTGTCCAGGAGATGGGTAACCTCTCTGGCTGTGGAGGTGTGGGAACCTGTGGTGGGCAGTGGGTGCTGGGACAGTTCAGACCTGTTAGTGGGCTTGGCAGGAATGAGGCTGAGGATGTGTCTTTTGCCCTCTACCCACAATACGGCACCAAACTCTTAGCACTTGGGTGTGTGTGTGTGTGTGTGAAAAGAGCCCATTCTATAACTGAGAGGAAATGTGAACACAGAAGGGACTTTAAGGTGCAGGGGTTCCTCTCCCAATCTGTCACGGGCTTCTAGCCTAGGTAGCTGGAGCCTGTTTCCCTCCTAAACCCAGTAAAGCCAGACAGTATTATCCCCACCTCCTGGACTACAGGCCATTATTCTATACTCCTTAGACTTGGTACCTTTTAGCTCAGAATGGTAGAAGAGATCTGTGCCCAGGGGCCTCAGCACTCTAACCCCATCTTGTTTTTGTAACATGTATGTATTGTTTATCTAGGTTAGGGCTGGGGGGAAGAAGAGATGAGCGAAGTACAGGGGCTAATACAAAGAGCATCTCCTCTGAGCTCCCTCCAGGCTTGGATGGTGTGAGAGAGCAGGCCATTTGGAGCCTTCTGGTCCCCATTCTCCAAAGTTGCCCGGGACTTCCCTGGGTGCTTCTGAGGTCTTTTACTTTCTCTGCTCAGGCAGGTAGAGCAGAAAGTGAGGGACAAGAGTCAGTAAACAGAGTAGTTTGTATGATCACGAGTGTGGCATAGAAGTAGCCAGGGTGAGGAGATGGGTGGAGGCTTGGAAAATGCCTTGGGGCCTCCAGAGCCAGTTTGAGAAATACTAAAACCCACCTCAGTGCCCAAGGAAACTTCAGTGCTCTTCCTTCTGCTAACAGGAAGGGCCCTGAGGGCAAGGTGATTGCCTCTCTCAGCCTGCTCTGAACTCCCACTGGGGGGCTTTTCGACTTCAGACCACCTCTCTAGTCAGCCACTGCTTTCTTTGTAATACAAGTGCCTCAAGCTGGAATAGGGGAGGGGACAGGGTCAGTCTATCGGGTAGGGGCGGAAACCACATCAGCCCAAGGATATAATTAGGACTTCTTTATTGAGTACTTGATCCTAAATATATCACACAAAGGGACACAATTATAAATGTATTAAAGTTTTGTTTAGAAGTTAAACCCTGTGTGGCTCTGGTTTTCTTCTTTGGAAGGTGTTGGCTCAGGGAGTGTCTAATTCTGCCCAAAGCATCCATTCACTTCCTACCTCTAGATCCTGGCTGGGTCTCTTGCACCTTTCCTAAGGTCACAAATATCCTTTATTGCTGGACTTCCTAGGGAGGGATGTGAGAGGCTGGTGAAGGCTCAACAGTTGGCTCGGGGAAACAGGAACTCAAACTTGCAATAGTGGATTCCAAAGAGACCTCTTGTTACGGGTCCTTTACAAAAGCTCACGAGAGCAATTAACTCTCTTCCCCACAAAGCTATATGCATATATAAAATCTTGCAGATGAGGGAGGGAATGGACCAAGGTTCAGAACCTCTGTCTTAAAAATCACTAGTCCAATCTCTTGAGCCCCAGAGAAGTTGAGTCATTTGGACTGGCTAAGGGTACTGCTTGTTTGCCTCCACACCCTTAATGCCGCCTTTGATTCTCTTTATTATTTGTTTCAAGGCTGAGTGGGACCCCACCCTCCTGGCCCGCAGCTCTGAGGAATTCATCCCCAGGGCCTGAGCCTAGGCTTGTGGTGATTAAGCCTCTGTGGTGGCCCTGCCACCCAGCCAGGAACAAGCTCTTCTGTGAAAGGGAGCATACCTGAGTAACCAGCCCCACCCTCTTCCCCTCCACTCCCAAGGGACTCAAACCCAAACCTACTTCCTTTCCACTGAATAAATTTATTTGCTTTCAGCTGGCTCCTCGGTGTGGGAGGGGCAGGGATTGGCAGCAGTCTGGCTCCATGCGCCCTCTGGTGGACCTCACAGGCCAATGACCAGAATCAGCCAAACTGCAGGGTTTCAGTCAAAATACAGTCTAGAGGGTTGCTGCAGTGCTCCTCAGGCCTGTACCCCAGAACCAACTTCAGGGGATGGGGGATGTTGGGAGGAAGCCCTGAACCTCTGGCTCTCATACTCGCCCGTGTTGGACGCCCGCATGTTCTGCCGAGCCTTCATCTGCTTCAAACGGTTCTTGTCCACTTCCCGCTTGGTGAGGATGAAGAGTAGGATACCACAGGGGAAGCCGATGGCCCTAAGGGTAGGGAGATGTGCACGGGGTTTGGGCAGGGGCCAGGCCTGAGCCAGAGCTGGGGGGTATGGGGGGATCATTCCATCTTTTCAATTGCACGAATGCTGCAATGCCTCTTGTGTCTACTTGTCCCCTCTGCTGGCTGCTAGAGGGACCCACATAAATCAGATCCTGTTGCTGCCCTGCTTAAGACCCCATAACAACTTTCCATCACTTCCTGGATAAGTCCAGACTCCTGGGCATGGCAGAAAATGCCCAGCTCTTCACTCCTTTCCCCTGTGGCACAACACTCATAAGCATGAACCCTGCACTCCTGCTTCAGGGCCTGTACATGATTCTCTAGGCAGACCAGCCTCTTTCTCTGAGTCCTAGCAAGTTTCTCTCTACTTAAACTCCACAACTCCTCCCAGGCTTCCTCTCTCTGGTTACTCTACTACTGAGGTACGACTCCAGCCCCTCCCTTTCCTTCTCTGAGTAACTGCGACTAGGGGGCGCCTTGGTGTGGGGGAAAGAGCATGGAGTCACAAGACCCGGGTGAGAATTCCAGCTCTGAGCCTCAGTTCCTTCCTCTGTGAAATGGGGGTGTAATATTTACCTCAGAAAAACTAAAACATTACATGGTAAAGTACTATCAAACCTCAAGAGGTGAAAAAGTGTTAATTTCCCCTATTTTTCTTTTGATTGATAGTATGACCTAAGATCAGAATCACAGCCAAATAACATACAGAACAACTTGTAGTTACTATACAAATAATACATGATTTCAACTAATTACTAGGATTTGGGTCTTTCCCCAAGCTCCCAAAAGGGAGGATGAGGCTAGGGACCCAAGTTCAAATCATCTCAGCTCAGCTAACGCCACAGAAAACCCACTGTCTCCACAATTCCACATACTTTCCCACCTCTCCTGACCCACTCCTCTGAGATTCCATTCTTGGAACCCAACAATTCTGTTCCTATAACCTTGGATTCAGCTCACCACTTGAAACTTAAAAGTTATTTCTGGGTCCTATCCTCCCCTGGATGCACTCCCCATGGGTGGGCAAAGAGGTAGTTAACACTCACCAGGCTAGTCCCACAGCTTTCATGGGGTTCTTGCCCCTCTTTCTGGGAATGTATTCCAGCTCAGGGGAGAGGGGCTCAGGCTCCTCCTTGCACTCTGGGGAGCTGTGGCTCTGCAGTGCTCTGGTTCTGTTCTGAGAAGCCTTGTTAGCAGTGGCTCCTGAGAGGATTCCTGTGGATGGAGGTAAGGAAGGTCAGCACAGGGATGAAGAGGGAGCTCCGGGAAGGTGGGTACAGGGTGGGAAGGGGCGGTTGAGATCTGAGTTTGGAGTAACAAGTGCTAGGGAGAATCCAAAAGGAAATGGGAAAACTGCAACTGAGGTGGGACCTTTGGAAGCCACTTTCACGTCACTGCGGGTTCATCACCCTGGTGCCAGGAGAGCGAGCTTCACTATTCTTCATTTCCGACGACAGGATGGGAAGGACTGCAAAGGGACTCACAGGATTCGTATGATGGAAATCCGGGGAAAGGTTTTAAAACTGAAGAATGTTAGCCCTGGAAGGAAGATAGTCTACTCCATCCCCTCATTTTAGAGAAGAGGAAACTGAAGCTCTGAGAGACAACTGCTTCACCCAAGGTCAAACTGCTAATTACCCAGGGTTAGAACCCAAGCCTTCAGAAGCCCAGGGCTCTTTCCTCTGCACTGCGGTGAGTGTGAAACACCTGGAGCGCGGGAGTCTAAAACATTCTTCGGGGGTCCTTCTTGCAGCCAGACCCCAGAGGTGTTGTGTAACCCGAAGGCAGGGGCATGGACTGAGTGACCTCTACAGAGCATCTTTTCACCCCAGACTCTAAGATCCTAAAGAGTGCTGTGGGCAGAATTGGCTGCCCCGACCGCCTGCTATAGCCGGGTGGGATGTGAAAGAAGAGAAATCTCCTGCAGTCTTGCCCTCCCCGGGGTCCCTCTCCTTACCCCGGAGGACGCGGGCATTTCTCGCCCCCCGGCCCTTCAGCGCCGTAGCAGCTACCACCGCCGCCATGTTCAGATCCCACCCCCCTCCACCGCGCTCTCCGCCGGGAATTGTAGTTTGCGTAAGGGGCCTCCCCCGCTCCTTCCGTCCTGCATACAGATCAGAAACTACATCTCCCAGAAGCCCGCAGAGCGGACTCCAGAGAACTACTCTTCCCAGGAGACCCCGGAGGCGCGCACGCTCGCTTGTTTCCCTCCTGTTGGGGGCGGAGTCAGGCCGGGCGGAGTTTGGGTTCTCCCCGCCACGCCTCAGCCCCTTTTCCAACTCTGCCTTGTGATTGGTGGTTCAACCAGTCAGCCCCCGTTGCTATTGGCCAGGCCGCCTTCGCTCTTCCTGCCCGGGAGTCGCCTAAGCCTACTTCCTCCCGGGAGGAGGGGCTCGAGTTCCGCGTCGCCGCGCAGAGCTGACTCTGGGAGGCGTTTGGGCCCAGAGAAGTGGATCGGCCGCCTGCGCCGCATGGAGTCCGAATCAGAAAGCGGGGCCGCCGCTGACACCCCCCCGCTGGAGACCCTAAGCTTCCATGGTGATGAGGAGATTATCGAGGTGGTAGAACTGGATCCTGGCCCGCCGGACCCGGGTGAGAACTGCTTGTGCTCAGGCCATGGGACAGGAGGCGCTAACCCCTGGCCTCTGACCCTTGCTTCTCCCCGCTCCCCTCTTCACCCTACCGGTCATTCTTACCGACATTCCTCTCCCTGTCCCTTACCCTGCCCCCACACTTAGTTGTCAGGCCTGGCGGGGTGGGGGTTCCCTGACGCCTCCCCTAGCCCTTCCCCTCACACACCCCCTTCCCATCATGCCCTCGGTCCTCTCTTCCCACACGGTTGCCGGCCAACCCCGGGTCCTCAGACCTTGCCTCGTATGCTGCGCCTCACACGCCCCCTCCTCCTGCCCCTTAGCCCCCGCTACACCCCAGCGGTCTGACTTCACCCTACCCTGTGGCCACATGACCTACCCCAGCCTCGGCCTTCTCATGCTTATTCCCATCCCTCTTAACGCCTCCTGAGCCTCATCTTTTAACACTCTCCCCAAAACAGATGATCTGGCCCAAGAGATGGAAGATGTGGACTTTGAGGAGGAAGAAGAAGAGGAAGAGGGCAACGAGGAGGGCTGGGTCCTGGAACCCCAGGAAGGAGTGGTCAGCAGTATGGAGGGCCCCGATGATAGTGAGGTCACCTTTGCCTTGCACTCAGGTAGGCCTCTGAGGAGATCCTCTTTAAATTAGTCCAGGTGGGCATTTGAGCATTGCACATTTGCTGCCTACAGAGCGTTATGAAAGACAAGTTGGGAAAGCTGTTGGCCTTGTCCTGCAGGAGTTCACAGGTAGGGATCAGAGAGAAGAATGGCACTGGAGTCAATTGAGTCACCTGGGTTTAAATCCTACCTCTCCTTTTTACCAATTTGTCACCTTCAATAACTTCTCTGGCCTTAAGTTTTCTCTTAAAAAGTTAGCCTTTGGTGGAAGTTAATGAACATAACCTGAATGGAAATTAGAGGTAATTTATGCTGAAAAATGTATCTTTTTGAGCACTTTTTATATAATCTGTTCAATAGCAGCTCTTACTAAGAAGCTAATAACACGATGCTCTCTTCACTGTATTCATACCCAGCCTGGTGGCATCCCATGCTGAGAATTGTAAGCCCTGTACTGTCCACAGTTTCAGTGGGGGGTGGTGAGGGGAACAGAACAGTATGAATCTGCCCTGGAGAAAGACTTGGAGCTCAGCAGGTTGGGGAAGGATTTCTCTAACAACTTACTGCTTACAACTTAGAAGAATTTGAATGCACCTTTTTTTTTTTCCAGGAGAGAAGACATATTGCTTTGGGTGAAAGAGGGTGGGCTTCCTAAAGGTTCTAAAGGACAGAACTCTAGGTGGGAGCCCCGTCCCCTCACCTGTGGATTATCTTTTGGGACAGCATCCGTGTTTTGTGTGAGCCTGGATCCCAAGACTAACACCTTGGCAGTGACAGGGGGTGAAGATGACAAAGCCTTTGTCTGGAGGCTCAGTGATGGGGAGCTACTCTTTGAGTGTGCAGGTGAGGGGGCTGGAGTGGAGGCCTGGGGGAGGTCCTGTTCCTTTGGAGATCTTTTGGGGGTGATCTGTGGTAGTTGAGCATCTGAGAGCCATCTGTTGACCTTTGTTTTGTATCAGCTCTGGGCTGGGTCCCAGGAACACAAAGAAGAATAACAACATAGTCTGTTGTAGGCTTAGGGGCAGGAGATGCTAATTGGCAAACAGAGTTTAGGAAAGGCCTGAGAGGAAGTAACACTGGCATAGGAGTAAGTGGGAAAAGGATGTGGGGATTTCAGGCAGATGTGTAAAGGGAACAGAGGGGCAAGGCAAAGGAAGCTCAGGCTCCACTTGGTTGAGTAGGGGCCAGCGATATCTCTACTGGGGAGACCTGGAGGTGTTAGTTCCTAGAGCTGCAGTGTTTGGCCACTTGTTTTGGTGGAGACTGCCTGCTTTTTTCCCTAGTAGGTCTTTCAGGGGGCAAGGGAGCTGGGTCATGTGTCCCCAGCACTTAAGTACCCTAAATTTTCTTCTTTTTCTGCCTACTTTTCTTGGCAGGCCATAAAGACTCTGTGACTTGTGCTGGTTTCAGCCATGACTCTACCTTAGTGGCCACAGGGGACATGAGTGGTCTGTTGAAAGTGTGGCAGGTGGACACAAAGGAGGAGGTCTGGTCCTTCGAAGCAGGAGATCTGGAGGTAATTTCTTCAGAGTGGGATCCAACTTTGTGGAACCACAGGTTGGGACAAGAGATTTGGGGGCCTGTATTACCTCCAGTGGACAAGCCTGCTCTGAGCCAGTGTACCCAAAGTTATAGCAAATGTACCTGTTGACTTGAAAGTTCCTACTGACCCCAGAAGCAGGAAAACTTTCAGGGGGACTTAAGGGACAGGTTCCTTAGGTGGGGTGGTATAATGGGCCTCCCTGCTGATCCTTCTTTCTGTCTAGTGGATGGAGTGGCATCCTCGGGCACCTGTCCTACTGGCAGGCACAGCCGATGGCAACACCTGGATGTGGAAGGTCCCGAATGGTGACTGCAAGACCTTCCAGGGCCCCAACTGCCCAGCCACCTGTGGTCGTGTCCTCCCTGACGGTGAGAGTACTGTCTTGCGTGTTCTCCTGGGTGTAGAGGGGGATCCCAGGTTATGCCCTTCCCTGAGCTCCCTCTGGGCCCCAGCTCTGCCCTTTCTCCTCTCCTCCTCCACCCCCTTGCTTAGTGTGTGAATGTGCCCTCTATTCTCTTTTCATTGGTGCGTCTGATCCTTTAGGAAAGAGAGCTGTGGTAGGCTATGAAGATGGCACCATTAGGATTTGGGACCTGAAACAGGGAAACCCCATCCATGTATTAAAAGGTACCAGAGGTGGGGGAAGTGTTAAACTGGGCCTTCATGGGAGAAGGCTGAGAATCAGGGCAGGACTGAGCCTATCTTGTCCCCTGCTTCTTCCTAGGGACTGAGGGTCACCAGGGCCCTTTGACCTGTGTTGCTGCCAACCAGGATGGCAGCCTGATCCTGACTGGCTCTGTGGACTGCCAGGCCAAACTGGTCAGTGCCACCACCGGCAAGGTGAGCGGACCTGGAGCCTGGCTGGGGGCCTCTTGTTTTCCCAAGTCTTCTGCCTTTCCTTTCTTGTTCCTCACTCTGCTGCTGTCTGTTGGGGACTGAGGGTCCTGGACCTCCTCTGATCATCTCCTCTGGCTGATAGGTGGTGGGTGTTTTCAGACCTGAGACTGTGGCCTCCCAGCCCAACCTGGGAGAAGGGGAGGAGAGCGAATCCAATTCGGTGGAGTCCTTGGGCTTCTGCAGTGTGTGAGTGTGAGCCTGAGCCTTGGCCTGGAGATGAGAGGGACTGGGGGAGAGGCCTGTGGGGGGCTGGGCAGGGGGACCAGGGAGGAGAGTCGGTATGAGTCCAGGGTCTCACAAGCTTCCTGGTGCTCCACTGCCCAGGATGCCGCTGGCAGCTGTTGGTTACCTGGATGGAACCTTGGCCATCTATGACCTGTCTACCCAGACCCTCAGGCACCAGTGTCAGCACCAGGTAAGGTAGTTGGAGCTGGGTTGCTGGTAGGCTGTGGTCATGGTCACAGAGAAGCCCTGGCCTCTGGGAGCGTCCACCCCAAACCTGGCTCCTACCCTCTCCTTCCCTGTGAACCTCCCTCACTGAGAGTTGGGAACAGATGTCTTTCTTCTCCCATCCTCGGTATCTGACACATCTGCCACCTTGCTCTGTGTCCTGGGGCAGTCGGGCATCGTGCAGCTGCTATGGGAGGCAGGCACAGCTGTGGTGTACACCTGCAGCCTGGATGGTGTCGTGCGCCTCTGGGATGCCCGGACAGGCCGCCTGCTGACCGACTACCGGGGCCACACGGCTGAGATCCTGGACTTTGCCCTCAGCAAGTACGTGAAGTGGGAAAGGGCTGGGACCACTGTATTTGGAAAGTGGCACTAGTATGGGGTCTTGGGGTATGGAAGGGATTTCCAAGAGGAGGGCATTGAGACCCAAGGCCTGGTTGCAGCCTGTGAGACAGCAGTCCTGGGAAGCCTAAGGGTTTCCAGCCCTGGGAGTCATCTTTTAACAAGTCTTAGGCCAGTGGTTGGCAGTGATCTGCCCGGGTATCGCCTCTTGGTCATGAGTGGAGAGGCCGAGACTGATGCTCCATCCCACTCAGCTCTGTGCTCCCATGCCAGGGGGACTGCCTCTCCTGTCCGCTCTGCTATTTGCATGGAGGGTTGATGGTCAGCGTGGCACTAGTTATTAGGGACCCAGAATCAGAGTGTGCTGCTGGAGCCTGACCCAGGGCCTTAGTCCCTTCAACCCTGTGCTTTCTGTTCACAGAGATGCCTCCCTGGTGGTGACCACGTCAGGAGATCACAAAGCGAAAGTATTTTGTGTCCAGAGACCTGACCGTTAATGGCTGTGGCCTCTGACTTGGTGTCTGGTGTTGAGGGGGATGAAGGGAGACCCCCCCTTTGCCCTGTGAGGCGCAGGGTACAGAGGGAAAAGGAGGGGGGGCTCAATTGCTTCCCAACCCCTTTAACTGACCTGCCTCCCTCTGTCCTTTTCTTCTCCTTGAGACCCCGCCCTCGGGCCCCCTCCCTTCTCCTCACCCAGACCTAGGGGCCCTTCAGCGGGAG